ACATCCGGCGAAACTAATTTGCAACAAGTCTGTTTCCTTTTTGATACTTTTTCCAGTTTTTTTTTTTAACTTACATATATATTTTCATTTTCTCAGCCGCAGCTCATTTCCTGACATTGCGGTTCATTTGGCTTTTGACTGTTACAAAGAGAAATATAGTCGGAACGCAAAACCACACTCCGTCTCTCTTTTTATGAGTAAAAAGGATAGTAATAACAATACAACGAAACCGTACATATACAATCAAGAATTTAATAAGTTAATAGTAGAACCTACACAAAAAAAAATGTTGACGTACAACGCGATTTCACATAAGCATTGCCGAATTCAAAAGCTTTTTTGAAAAAAATTTGCCAATGCAAATAGTTTCTTTTTTTTTTTAATCTAGAAAAAATCTGAGAGTTAGTCAATGGTGATTTAATTTTGAAGAGAAAACATTCCCTCTTTTTTGTTTCATATCCTTTTTTCTCTTTAATTTTTCAACGGTGCAATATCACAGCCTGCGCACGACTAAAGGCCGATTCGTTGCATTGCGGCAGTGCAAGCACAAGTGTATCATTAAGAGGAATTGTCCCGGGGATCACTAATGAACTCTTTATGGACACCCTCGAGTTTAAAATGCACACGTACCAGAGATAAGGTGTAGCACTGCGGGGCGATTTTCGCTTGACGGAAACAGTAGACTACTCTATTGCATTGTAGCTTTGAAAATTGGTTAAATTTATTTACTCACGTTCCACGCGGCGTGTAGTGTTTTTCACACTTGTTAAGTTTCTGAGTTATAATATAAAAACAAATAAAAAATGTACAACCATTGTTGTAATAAAAGAACATCAAAAACTAACCGTGTAATTTTGAATTATTGTTAATGACACGGGTTTATTGCAGCTACAACAGAGTCGTGCAAGTTTTCTAAATAAAGTTTGGTGAAGCGATTTTAAATTATAAATTTTTGAGGTAGAAAAATGTAACTAAAAATATTACACTGTTCTGCAAGAACGTACATAAACGATAAATTTATATTTTATATTTGTTGGTAAAAATATCTTTAAACCGTTTCAAGTAATCGTAGTTTGGTGGTGAAATTTTGCCTATAAACTATGTAGTTCCAATCGATAAGTAATATAATTTATGAATTCAAATACAATATATATATATGATTGACAAGATGTTATATAGTAAGTCTTACACACACCCCAGAGTTTACGCACAGCAAGTCGTTTATCTCGAGTATGTACTTATATAGTTAAGACGACGGTTGTTGAACTAACTAATATAGAGCGATTGTGTGCGGTGAAAACCGACCGGATAAGCAGACCGAGCGGTGTATAACAGTAGCTCGTCATACTTGGAGTAAAACGTGTGTAACTTTAGCAAAAACTTAAGTTTTGCCGTTAAACGCATGCAAATGGATGTCTATGTGTGTATGTGTGTGTTCGTGACACGAACAGAGTTTTGCCCGTGGCAATTCTGACGCCTTCTGATGCCACGGGTAGGTATAGTACTCGCTATTAAAATTCGTGTACTTGGTCTAACTTCGTTATGGAAATCGGCCAATCGCAATTTTCGTCGTTCACGCGGCGCGCCGGCAGCGAAATTCACCAAATATTCAATTTACAGCGAGCGGAATACAGAAAGCCGGCGGCGGCGACCGAACATAATAATATGTACTCCTCGAACAATATATAATATATATATTTTTATTTTATTATGTAAATGTGTCGGTTTATTCCGTTTTTGGATTTGGAGTAATTTTAGAAAAATGGCAATAACAGTATACAGTATACACGATCCATAATACAGCGTCCTTGTCGGCGAAAGCAATTGTTTTGCTATTATGATTTAACACCACGTTAGGTTATTGAATAATATTATTTTCCTGCCCGCGTTATCGCGTTAATTATTTAAAAAATTCGAATGTGACACACTGACGGTAACACCATCGCGTCGCTTCATTACAAAAACGACATACACCCCGACATGGCAAACAAATAAACGCCATATATGAATAACATAACAATAAAAGCTTTTGCAAAAACGACCAGCCGTTGTTTGTACAAAGGCCATGCCTATAGCGGAGTGCATTTAACGTTGAATATTATAATAATACACCACGTCACCACCACCACCACCGCCGTATAGAACGCGATGAAAATACAAAAACCCCATATAAAAAAAAAACACAAAAATACAATACAATTCTAATGGAGTACGTGCAACAAGTGCATAAACGTTTTCAAGTGAATTATTCTTTAGTTGAGAACTATTTTTGTATTTTACCAATTTTTTCCCCAGAACGGACAGGGTGTATTTTGATAAGACTCAAAACGAACAATAATCAAATATTATAATTTCGCGGCAAACATTACCGTTTCAATTTAATACAAGGGCAAATATTCCAACAAAATTTAATAAATCAATATCGACTAGAATACCTATTATAATACCCACTAGTTATTCGATGAGTACTTATATACTATTATGCGCTTAACAAAATAATATTTTGTTTTAACGTTAACAAATGTGTACTTAATAATGTAACGTGTACACAGCATATTAAAATGTATTGGAAACGTCGCTTTTTAACGGTATAGTTCAATTCAGCCTCATTTTTGTTTCTGTTATTTTTATAATATTTCAAATATTAAAACTACGCCATTTAGGATAAAAAGAAAATATCATCGACGAGGCCAACAATGATCTATAATGGAAATGAATGTTGGACATTGAATAATTGAGCTAAAAATTAAACTAAAATAAGAACCTTAAGATGGATATGTGAAGTAACTAGATAGGTAATTAAATAGGATAAGAATAGAGTTTATAAGAGGTATTTGACACTGAGGTTGTCTGCCAAAGTTAAAATTAGAGTAGATATAGCAAAAGTGACGGATAGAGAAACGTGGAGACTGGAGAGAAGGGAATAGGAGGCATCTTTTTTCAGTAGTACAGGATAAAGCGAATAATGAGAAAAATATTATAATATATTAAAAAAAAATAACAGTGTATAGTTTATCTCTACATACAAAATACTTGAAATTAATTCTTTATAGATTGGGAAACGGTTGGTAGTGATTCGTGAATCGTTTTCTCGCAACTGTTTCTTTTTTTAAAATTATAAATTCAGAAAAAAATGAAAATTAACAACCGGTCACCAAGTAGAACATCGGTCTTATATGACATTGTTACCCTTGTTATTGTTATACTCGACGACAGTGCAAAACCGTTTCACACGGTTTTCTTTTTCTGTTGCTGCCAGAAATCCTTGCTACGTGTATTAAGCAACGGTAGATTTTAACACCGGACTTACTCGAGTGCACACATATTGTGTATTATGTCGGCTGAAACTATGGAAAGTTTTAGAGGTAACCAACAGGCAACAATATTATATACGACCGTGAAAGGGGTCGCGGCTACAACGGGGTAAACCCCGTTACGGAGACTTTGGCGGACCTAACTTTTTATGGTGCCACGCGAGCTGACCCACCCCGAACATATTATAAAGGAGAGGAGGGCACATAGTTTGGCGGCAGTGGGGCCGTTACGTATATCACCGGGGATACCTCTCCTGACACCCGTTAGACGGGAGAAGGTTTAAATGTTTAAGAACGCGCGTATTGGCCGTTTTATGGATTTTCGGTAACACGCCGCCAACCTTACACATACACTCAAACCGTTATGCGAACCGATGACCGTGTAATATAATAATTCTTCAAAGGGTTGGCCGCATAAAATATAAAATATATAGGTATCCCTTTACCCATCAGAGTATCAGCGCAACCGTATTACTATAATAATAATTATTATTTTAATTACGATTTATAGCGCTACTATTACAGGTACAGGTGTATCATAATAATATAACACTTGGGGGATATTAATTTGTAACAGCAAAAGGGTATATCTATAGAATATGACAACGCTTCGGTTTTGTGCACTCGGTGACACTGCGCGTGTGAATTTAATTGAATAAAAGTTCAACGGGGGAAAAAAATGACCCGAAAAAAAATGAGTTTTTACTTTTATCATTCTTTTTTTTATTTTTAATATAATACACGAAACGCATACATATACGCGTATTCTATTATATTAATAACGATAAATGGCACAGCGTTTGAAATTTATTACCTCCGCCAAACCCTCCTGTGGAACGGGAACGTAAATTCAAAAATTTTCATTCTCTCCCGCTTTGCATCCGTTCCGCACTACTATAGTGATTTATGCTTAGCAATTACATGCGGTCAAAGGCGGCTCACCGGGCCAGAGAATGCAATTAGGTTGCACCGTTGATGTATGGCCAAAGCGAGAATTTTGAAGATTTTAATTTGCTGCAATTGCTGCTGCTTTGCCGGTGTGTAAATGAGAGCGCGGCCGTTAATTTTCGATGTTCTTTCAGCTCCAAATTAGTAACCGAGCGCCGCTCTGCCCTTATATTCGGATTCCATTGCCACCCTCTCAGTCGTCGGATCCCCTTTTTACTCGACTGGAGTTTGTTTTTTTTTTCCCCCGAAAAGTTATTAGCCTTAATAACTCTTTGAAAAACCCTTCAGGTAAATAAATAATTTCCTAAAACAATTCTCAGTAGAAATTAAGGAGAATTGTTGAAACAAAAGCGGATATTTAGATTCTCGTTTATAATTTTTAATTTAAAAACTAATTATTTTGTATGTTGGTTCGTGGCGTATAATAAATATAATTTTCGGAAACGCTTAACGATCAAATATTTTACCTGGATCATTGTATCACATGCCAAATAATGATTGTGCTTAATTTTTATAAATACTGGAGAATTATAAAATATGTTTCTCAAAAGTTGTTTAAAATAAAAAAATGGCATTATATTTTATTAGTTTATTATAAAACTTAACTTTGTATGTATAGACTATAGACAAACATAAATTCAATAATAAAAACTAAGCATTAAAAATGCATAGTTAACTGGATAAATACTTAAGTTATCGCTTTTTGCCGAATATTGAAAACTATCGTCGTGTACTTACTTTGCAACTGGAGTGGCTGATGTTGCTTAGATTCAATCTGTATACGTGATCCCTGAAACAAAACCAACAGACCTTATTAATTGATGAATGAACGCTTTTGGGCGGAACGTACACCGTCAAAAGTGATTAGCGCTGTAATAGACAAGGGACTGTCACTACTTAGGCAAAACTTTTTGGCCTTGCAGGCGAAGGGTCTGTCACCAAGTTCATTGCACCGTCTTCGGAGTAAGTTAATTGGACGGGACGATAGAATAGCTTCAAAATGTATGCGAAACTCACAGAAGTGAATACAATGGGTCGCATGTAGGCTGTATCGAGCAAGCAGTAATCGGAATCCTAGTTCAACTCATGCAATATATTAAGTGAATCATATTGGAATGCTGTAGTATGTATAATATGATGTATGTATAAGTGGTTGAAAGTATTCGAGAACTCGAATAATCAAACTTTCGAGTGGCGTATCTTCAGTTGCATAATTGTATAACACATAAATGAATAGAATTGCATAATTAAAAATAATAATTGATCAATACGATATTAATTTATAGACAGAAAAACGTGTAAGGGTAGTTTTTGTAAAAATAAAGCAAAAATGTGTTTTATAATGTGACAGCACAAGCTATCAGAGGGGTGACTTGAGCCGATCATCAAATGCGATTTTCAGTTTTTGTACATAATTATATTACATTAAATAAAATTATTATTTTATAATCAGCAAAGTTCCCAGATACTTTTTTTCAATTTTATTATCTACTATAAATAATTTGCTAAAAGAGAGATTTTAAGCGTCTGCGTAGATATTTTATATAGCCCAGGCATGTTTCCAAAACTGTAACTTACATTATTAAAAACACAGTTAAAAGCTAACCTCGCTAGAACTAGAAATACGAGATCAGCTGTAAATAATAAAGCGAATAAAACAATATTGATTAGAAATTGTTTTTTGCGTTTTACTTTAGTATTTCACCGTTTAATGGCGGCAAATGTATTTCGAACAAAAATCATGTCAGAAACTGCGACCACACATTGTGAGGTCCACTAGATAAATAAAGGGTGAAAGCAATCTAGTATAGTGTGTATTATGACTCTCAACAGTGCTTCAGCCGTTATCACACCGTGTACGCTATTACGCTAGAAAACGCGTTATTTTTTTTTTTTACTAAGTGTTTTGAATTCAAACACCCAGACACAAACACAATGGCGTTGTAGAGAAGAAAAAAAAACGTCGACTTAGACTCACACATACACTTCCACTTGATCGAGTCGTGTGACCTATCTAGACACGCTTAACACGTTTTATGCAATTCCGAAAAAGAATAATACCGCATTTTCAACCGAGTTATTTACCGTGTGTTTTAAACGGATTTTTTTTCTTTGCAGACTTTTTTCCCGACTGATGGAGCTGTAACGTCGCCGTATGCTTTTGCCGGAGATCGATAACGACCCCCAAAACGCCATTACTAACATACGGTCCTCCGTGGTTTGTACAATTATTATTATTTAATTACGCGTTTTCCAAACACACTTGGTCGTTTGGTCTTACACAACGGGAACAGTTTTGGCGCGTGTGTGTGTGTGAAAATTGACGAGGAATTTTTCTCGGTTCGACAATTCGGCGGGAGGGGGAGGGTGATACCACGAGACCGGCGGAAATGGGGCATTTTAAAAGCGGCCTTTTGTAGTAGACACAAAACGTCATAACGACACGACTTATAAATCAGCCGCAGACCCTATACGTAGTATAGCCGCTCTCCTTAGTGGTGAGAAACCGAACCGGGGGTCGACCGAGGGGTACAATAATATGGCAATACCGGATAAGTCGAGAAGACGACGGCGGAGACGGAAAGACGCGGAGGGCGACTGTTTAATTTCACGGTTCGACTGGCAAACTCTGTGCCACTGTGTGTGTGTGTGTGTGTGTGAGGCTGGTTGTTAAGTCTGCAGAACAAACGCACCGCCAATGATGTAGCTACGATCTGCCCTGGGTCGGGGATAGCGGTTACGGTATATATATATATAAGTATATATATTTAGGTCTATGACAAGATACCTTTATTCTCGGTCGACGACGGCCAAAGAGAAACTTTAGGATACAAACTTGCCACCATTGAACGCGTTCGACGAGTATCGCATTAATTAAATATAAATAACAAACCTAAGTGTGTCGTCAAACACACTTAGTGCGTTTATCGATAGTTATAATACACTCAAAAGCGTCCCCTCATTACATTCCTCGAGCGTAAGAATAATATATCTAATTCGTTCAAATACATCTAAATACTGTCGTAAACCGAAACCAAGTTAATGCTGTCTCGTTTTTGTACGTTAAGTTCAGTTGTGGGTCCATGCACTCAGATCTGTGGGTCTATTGTGCGCATAAATATAGTTAAAATCTATACGCAATGCGGTAGTCTAACTTACAATTATTAGTCATGCCGCACAAAGCAAATTGTAAATGTTTTATTACCAAATAAACTTTTTATTAAATTAAATAGTTAGATTCATTTTATTTTGGATCTAAATTCTGTAATAATTAGTTTGTACATAGGTACTATGTATATACTATGTTTGTAGGTCTGTAGTCTAGTATGTAGATTATATGTATGTTGTTCGTAAATTAATTTTTTTTGTACTGGTTTAATTGTTTTTTATTAAGGTTAAAAACTTGTATTATATTTTAAATATCTTGACTGTAAAAAGAATAAAAATCTTTTGCCTACCTAGAAAACAAACGAATGTATAAATGCAAATGGTATTGTAACAAAACATTATTTCTAGTTTTTAAACGCGAAACACCTTTAAGATGTGGTTTTTTCGGTCAAGATCAGATATTTTCCCTCAGATAAGTCATAAGTGAATTACGCTGTAATAAAAGGGTAAAAATAGGGGCAAATCTACATATTGTTATATAAAATATACATAATTTTATGTTGCTCTAGTTAATTGTTAGTACTTTTTATCAGAACGGTGAAATGGTTCTGTTTAAATTTCAGGATATACTGCCGTCAAGGAAGTAAACAAAGTCATAATAAAAAGCAACATAAAACCTCCCGTTTACAATAAAAAGTACTGTCAAGATAGTTCAACTGCTAGTTTGTATACGGCCTATAAAACAAATTAAAATTGTGTCTGTGTACAGTGTATGTGACATTGAACATAGAACCCTATTGTCAGACGGTAACCCCTGTAAGAGTTATGAGAGAAGATAAAAAGATTATTTTAAATAAAAGCCATTCAATATATTAAACGATTTGGAAATCACATATTATTGATATTGAACAAATACACGCTTAAAGGAAAATGACAGTAAATTGCAGAAGTCAGTGCTATTAAATAAAAAAATGGTTAGTGAAATGTTTGCATCGAGGAAAGATTTTAATCTAACCTACTGAGTGCAAGATCCTATAACAAAACTATAACTATATTAAGTGTGTGATTATAATTACATATTTTAAGTGTTAAAAAAAAAATGCAATTATAATATACTGTATGTTAGATTTTCTTAAAATAAAAAAAAATACTTTGTATAATTAAAAGTATTAAAAAAAACACAACAACAATTAAAACATGGCATTTCTTTTGTTCCAGTTGTGTCGTTTTCCTATTGTATTTTTGTGTAATGTGGTTTAACATAATATGTTGAAATCTTAATATCGACGTAAGTATGTTCCACTTAATGCGAGTTCAACACGATAAAGTTGTGCCTAGTATGGCGAGGGCGCGTTTTTGTAATTCTATTTAAACTCTATGTAGATCTTAAGGGGTTGTTGCAGCACTAATGTAAAGCTTGACGGAATCTTTTGTACGAGATTATCTCGCGACACATTAGTTACATAACAACAGTGAGGGCGCCGTTCGTTTATGAATGCTACCGTGAATAAATTTAATTTGCGCGACCCATTCAATAATAATTCAGAGTAGGCGATAAGGCGCAAGTAGCAAAAGGGAGAAAGCGCGGCATTAACGAATGCTTGAGCGCATTATTTTTGTCGACTTTAACCGGAACTGACAATATTTTTTTGTGAGCAGACTCGGGCATAGTGTTTTTTAGTAGCACACTTGAACTCCTCCGACGGATGTTGTTATTATCATCATCATCATCGACTGCGTTTATTCGGTTCGTCGCCACGCCGAGAAGATACGTACTTGCCCGTCTTTTAGTAATATATTTCGAAAACTTATCGCTTGTATTTAATGAACGGGACACGCGATAATGTCATTGTTTTGAGCGATACACTCTTGTCGGTAATCAATGAACCCAACAACAGGTGACGACGGCCGGCCAGAACTCTTACCGTGGCCACATTGAAATCATATAATATTTTATAACGCGGAGAAGAGCCGAAATAGTAGTACTTTGCGGGCACTTAACGTCATCACGTTTGCTTAATACGCCGGCTGCGAGCATTTCCGTGTAATACCTGATGCGTTTTCGGGCGGAAAGCCACCAATGTAATCAGATTTGTCTGGGCCAAGTATAAGCCGTGGAACCGCGCGTTCGCGTTAGCTACTGCTGCCGCCAGAGTAATATCTAAAAACGAGTATTACGTGTGTGTGTGTGTGGGGGGGGGGGGGGGGGGTGAGGTGACGGTAGTGGGCACTAAGCGCATTTTCGCAAAAGTAAGTACCCACGCGACTTTAATGCCCCGGGGAACCGAATACGCCGTCGGGTTACATTTCACGTAGGTATACCTAATCGGAATGTAGGTATACCATTCGAGTTTTGTATCGAAGCCACCGTTAATATTATTATTATTTTCGATTAATTCTTAGAAGATACTGCGAATTGTACTGCGGAAGAAGAGAATAGAGATATTTTATCCCTGCGAATACAATATAATATGCCCGTCTCCGTTGACCGTTGAATAATAAATGACAGTGGCAAATATCGCACGGCACCGGATGGTACCGTTTTTTTTTGTGCTAACGGTCGACCACAAGTGTGTTTTAGGAAAAACCAAGGAAAACCGAACCTGACGTTATTAATATTCAGTGAACTCTACGCCGACGATCGCGTAAAAAGGGTATGGGGGAAAAAAAGGCATGCACGAA